CCACGATGTAGAAAAGATGTGGAGACTCTAGAAAGAGTGCAGAGAAGAGCATCAAAGATAATTAGGGGACTGGAGACTAAAACATATGAAGAACGGTTGCAGGAACTGGAGATGTATAGTTTAATGAAAAGAAAGACTAGGGGAGACATGATAGCAGTGTTCCAATATCTCACAGGTTGCCACAAAGAAGAGGGAGTCAAACTATTCTCCAAGGCACCTGTGGGTAGAACAAGAAGCAATGAGTGGAAACTAATCAAGGAGAGAAGCAACTTAGAACTGAGGAGAAATTTCCTGACAGAGCAATTAATCAGTGGAACAGCTTGCCTCTAAAAATTGTGAATGTCCCAACACTAGAAGTCTTTAAGAAGATGTTGGATAGCCATATGTCTGGAATGGGATAGGGTTTCCTGCCTAGGCAGCGGGTTGGACTAGAAGACCTCTAAGATGCCTTCCAACTCTGCTATTGTATTAAGTGATTAAAGGGAAAGCAGAGGGAATATGGGGGTACCATAGGCAGGATGGAGAAGGCTCTGGGATGCATGGCACAGTTTGTGTGTGAGTTAGTGAAGAGAATGCTAAGGTCTGGCATCAGCACAGGAAGGAGGTTGCAGTGAGGGAAAGTGGGTGCATTGAATGCATGTGTGGAAAGTAATGAGGTGAAGGAGGGCACAGTGCATGTGTGAGAGTGCAGAAACGCCAGGAGGAGAAAAACAGTCTTGCTCCAATGACTTGTGACCTTCCCCAATACCTTCCCCATTGACTTTGATTGTGGGAAAGCAGCATGCAAATGACAACCACATGATCATGGGGTGCTGTAATCAGTCCTGAGAGTTAATTGCCAATTGCCTAAATTTTGTTTACATAACCATGTAGCTGCTAAAATGGCCAGGACTTTTGAGTCTCTTTGTTCAGCCTTCATAACTTTGAATAGTTGCTGAACAAATGTAGATTAAATGATGTTATAACTGTATCTAAAACACTTTTTATCAAAACCTCTGTCTAATGAATTCCAAGTCTAGCAAAGAAGAGGGGAATTCGAAAAGAAATGGAATGGTTAAAAAGAGGAAGAGTCAAATCTAAGCAGAAACAGACTATATTCATATAAAAAGGGAAAACTATTCTGAGGCTGTGACAGAAGGGAGGCAAACATTTGAGTAGTTATTTATTGAGAGATAGAAAAAAGGAGGAATATTAGCAAACAGCCCTTGAAAGGCAGAAGGGCTGCTGGATGTTTCAGTTCAGAAGCCAGTTTGGGCTCCATCATCTGAACTGTAAAAAAGACAGCAAAAACAGAGATCGAGAAAATACAACCAAAAGCATCCAGAAGGAAATGCAAGTATAACCACTCTTATCCTACATTAGAATTTTTCCTGAGAACAAAACTAACCACATTTCTTTTGATTTAATTCACAAGTCTCAACAAGAGAACGAGAAACCATATTTACTGATGGTGACACTTCTTATGCAATAGTACTGGGTGTCCATTTATATCTCATATAAAAAAGCATTACTATTTCTGTTTATGAAATTTTTTAGAAAGTTAACTAATATTTAAATTCTACTATCTTAAAATTCAGCATATAGGTTTGACATATAATTCTTAATTGGCTAATAATTGAAGAGACAGACACCATGAACAATTTAGCACATAAGGCTTTGTATGTTAAAAGAATAAGGTCTATAATACAGAACAATAACTTACCTCGCCATTTTCTATCACAGCCATTGAGCACATCTGTCCACAAGCAATGTTAATTGCTATCTTATTTTGTAAGCAGCCAGTAACTCTTTGAGGAATAGGCTGATTGGCTGTTGAACCAGATCCAATTTGTCCTGAATTATTATAACCCCATGAATACACCTGCAAAAATAAACTAGTAACAGACTGATACGCCATTCTAGAAATATATTTGTTTTCATAAAAATAGCACATAGAAAGAATGGAAAGCAAAATTAGCTAACTGATATGGATTCAACTGCATGCAGATCTATTGTGTTTTGTGCATGGAATAAAACATCTTTTTTTGTGGACAGATTTCTGTCAATACTTCTAGCACCTTTTCCCTAGCAAACTATGTTATTGAATTATCATGTCTTAAAGTACAAAAATAATATTGAAATAAAAATAATACAAAAGTATTTGCAACCAATGCTTCAGTCACACCAATTCAAATATTTTACCTACTATAAAAATCAATTACATAAAATTAATGCTGCTTAATTATTCATGTTTCACATTTGAAATCAACAAGATGCTTCAGAGTCTGCAGCAGTCTTGCAACTCCTTAAATCAAAGATGTCTCTTCCCAAACTGCATACAGATGCATTTATATTCCTGTTCACATACTTCTTAACCAGTGGTGGGTTTCAAATTTTAGAACCTATTCTGTAGGTATGGCCTATTTTGTGGGAGTGGCTCGGAAGTCATGTGACTGGGTGGAAGTGGTTTGGCAGTCGTGTGACTGGGTGGGTATGGCCAAGTTGGAAAATGTGGTGAAACTCACTTAACAACGCTCATGCTTAGCAACCAAAATTTTGGGCTCAATTGTTATCATAAGTTCTCTTTCTTTCTTCTTTCTTCCCTCCTTCCTTCTTTCTTGTGTCTCTCTCTCCTACTTACTTTCTCTCTCTCTCTCTATTTCTCTCTCTCTCACACAGACACACAAACACACACACACAACCACCATTTTCCTCCTGTCTGCCACTGACAGCTCTCAAAGAGAAGGAAGTGTAAAGACTTGTGCTTTGGGAAGGGGTTGGACTAGATTACCTCCATGTTCCCTTGCATCCCTTTATGTTCTCTGTCCCATTTAGTCACAAACAGCCCCATTCACTTTGGTCACAAACTCCACTCACCCTGCGCGTGCCCTGGTCCCACCCAAGGAGGCGAGCTGTGGGGTGGAGGAAAGGAGGGAGTCTGTGGCTCCACCTCTCTCGATCTTCTTCCCCGCCTAGGTTCTGCGCATCTGGCACAACCCACCACCCCGCCTTTCCTGGGACTTTGCCTTTCTCTGACGGGTGGGCGGGGGCTGCGCCGGGGAGGTGACCATCGTTTGCCCTGGAGCTGCGGGTGAAGGAGCGGCTGATGCTCGGGCCAGCCAAGATCGGCAGGACCTGGCTCCCCCCACGCCCGAACTCTGGGTGCCGAACCTTCGGTCCTGCCCCCGTGGGCTTCAGGCACCAAAGGCACTGGCAAGGTTGTGCAAGTGCTTGCTGCCCTGCCTGGCTCCCACAATGGAAAATAACAGAAGAAGCTCTAACTGACAAGAGGGACACTGGTTCTACTAGGAAATAAAACAGAGGAAAAGTTCTCATTGTAGGTTCTGCGGGCGGGAGGTGCTGCTGCTGAGGTGGCAGTGGAGTCAGGGTGCTGCCCACTGAGCAGCGTGACCCACAGCAAACCCAGAAGTAGTAATTGCTGCCGCTCCGTGCCACCATTGCTTGCTCCCCCTCAGGCCGGCGATTGAGCACGCAGAGGGGGAGCTAAGAAAGCCGACAGTCTGGATTTGATACCCAAGCACCAAGCTCTTATTATTTGCTTGAGATCCTGCCCACCTAGTAGTTCGAAAGCATACAAATGCAAATAGATAAATAGGCACCACTTCAATGGGAAGGTAAGGGTGTTCCATGCGCTTTGGCACATAGTTATGCTGACCACATGACCACAGAAGCATCTTTGGAAAATGCTGGCTCTCTCAGCTAAGAAACAGAGATGAGTATTTCCCCCTTGAGTAGTACATGATTTAACACCAAATTCTGGCTGCTTTAAAATTTTTATATAAAACTCCCCCCTTTGGTTTTTTTCCTGAAAATCTGAAAAACATGAACTGGTGATTTCTGGATTTGCCCATTTAAAAAGGACTATATATGTGAGAAGGAAATTACACTATGTTATTTTGATAGGGGAAATGATATCAAGCAAATCTAATTGGTGTAGATTGAAAGTAGCTTCTTTAAGCATCTTCACTTTCTATTGTTTTCAACACATTTTTCTTCTTTTTATTTGATTTTTCTTCATTTTTCACATCTTTTCTTTGTTCTTTAATAAAAATTATATAAAAAAATAAAATTGATACAAAATTCAAAAGCAACTTGCACAGAATTACAATAATTCTTCTCACCGCACCATCAGCAGTCAATACCATTGAATGATGTGAGCCACAGGCAACTTCAATTACTTTTTTGTTTATCAAGTTGGTGGAGATTTGGCAAGGAATGTAGCTATGACTGGTTGTTCCATTTCCCAGTTGACTGTAAGCATTATGACCCCAAGCATATACTTCTCCTTCTATAAGAAAAGAAAATAGTTTTGAAAGGCTGATATAAAAACTGGCTACATTACAAGCTATCTTTTTTACAATGAATAACAAGATGATTTTCCTTCATTGTGAAATAATTACATAAATCACAAATAAATGAAAAAAGAAACTTTTCCTAACATTAATCAATATAATAAAGATTGAAACAAATAAACAGAGTAGATGGCAGGCTGAGAAGGGAATGGTGTCTGTCAACCAATCAATATTCAAATATTGTGAAGAAGGCGCCAATGTCGCTATGATATGGACATGCGGTCTCGATGCTCAGAGACCGCAGCCAATACTTTTGCTGCTGGGTGGTCCAATTGGACCTAAACTGTCCCGCAGTGATGGTGAACAGGAAGAATACATCTTGCTGACTTCAGGGACTGTTTTTCTAACTCATTTAAAGATTGGACTCTTTTTTCTAACTTGAAATACAAAAAATATATAAAAGAAATAAGATTTCCAATAGTAACACTGCTGCTCGGAGGCTGGAGGGTTTGTTTATTGGAGTTTGTGTACTGGAAATGGAACACCTTTGTTTTCTTTGCTGATTGTTTTGGCTTGGCACTGCAAGGTCTTACTGCTTGGTTATAGAGAGTGATAAGAAGGGAAGCANAATACAAATGTGCACGGAAAGATTCTTGGCATGTCAAGCTTCAGATTTGTATGGAATCATGAACAATTAAAGTTAAAGTCGATACCAAGACAGCTATTAACTGTTATATCTTCAAAAGTTACCTCATCATTTTCAGTTGCATAAACAACTTCATTGCCAGCACTGCCAAATACGCAAACCTGACGAATTAACTTCAATTCCTCTTGAGAGTGGAGAGCAAATAATGGCCATTTCCCAATATCCAGCATCTTCTGTTTCAGTAAAAATATAGTATATACAGATATTGTGTTATATGCCTACGGATAATGAAGAAACTCAACCTTTCAACCCACTCTGATAACATTAATTATAAATGCACCTTTCCCCATCTATGTAATCCTGAGAAAGGAGTCAGTTGTGTCATGAAATTGATATATCACTTATGTGTTTACATCGTGTACCACATATCTGGTTTCTCATCTCCCCAAGATCCCATGCATGTTAAGAGCAATCTCATATTGCTTTAATAATAAATACTATATTGTAGTGATCAGGGGCACAGTCATATTGCTTTAATGTAATTAGATTGAAATAATTAGGTTCTGATTAAAAGAGAGCAGATATAAAAGCTTAAGTCAGCAAATTTTTTAAACACCCTGCTGTTTTAGGAGAGCCTCTTATCTCTAACTCACTGACATTTTGAGGAATAACATTTACTACAGAGGGAAGCAAAATAAGCCTCTTTCTTGAGGTACTGCAGCCCAAACTTATACAAGTATGAGATAGTTCAGACTTGGCAAATTTTGGGATTAACTGTGTACTGTAACTTCCTAACTCTGTGGAAACAGTTCAGTTTAATGAGTCAAATTAAGATTAGTTGAGGGACAAATTTCTATAAAAGGCAATGTTTGTAGCTCAGCATTGAACTGTGGGGCCCTTGGTACTCTCTAAACTAGGGTTTTCTTCCAGACATTCCATTACCAAACTAGTAACTTACGGTAATCAATGGTAGTAGAGCCCTACTTCCTACTAGCAATATTGATGTTATCTAGTTTGGTAATGAAATATCTGCAACAAAACAACCAAGTTCAGAGTGCACCAAAGACTCTACATGAGACTCCTGTAGTTACTTTTATTCTATTCATTTTTATTAATGGATCTCCTTATTGTGCTTTAGGAACATCCACACTGCCGAGCCTTCTCAAGAAACGGTTGCAAATTTTGCAACCTTCGAGCCTCTCAAGGAAAAGTTCAAAACTAAACATAATAATTTGTGGGGCTCACAAAAGGATCGATATGTGTGAATCAACTTCTGTGGTCATAATTGCCAACTCAGATTTCTAAAATGTTTCGGGGGGGGGGGAGGACGAGGAGGACCGCTGAGGGGGTCCAGGCCAACATACACACCCGCGTACACGCGCGCGCTAAATAAGCTCGGTCTCACAAGGAACTCGGAGCGGGAGAAAGGACGAGGCCGTCCTGCAGTCTCCTCCCTGCGGTCTCCTGCAGGGGCAGCGCTTGGTCCAAACGTACCTCCAGCACTCTAGCCGTTCCGACAGGGACAGGAACAACCCGGTAAGCAGGAGAAACAGAGCGGCAATTTCTGCCCAATCGCCCCCGCCGCTTCTGATTCGCCGCTTCTGATTCGCAAGGCCCGGAGCGATGGGGGGGAGGGGCTTTGCCGTTTTGATGAAAGGAGGCGGCGCGTTACTATCCCGGAACAGCGAGAACTGTCGTGGCTTCGGTCTCTTGCTCCTAGGGTAAAATCTTGCTATGGAGTAAAACCGCGTTCCTGCTTTGCAAGAGCAATGACAGTGCTGTAGAAATACTGTATCCTGGACTGCATAAATCCTGGCGATCGTTAAATGGCAGTACCGTATAAGGGGAGCTTTTCGTGGGTCCTACTGCCACCCAGCGATGGTCTTGATTAGTGAGCGTGCATAAAATGGTAGTTTTTGACTAAAATACAGGCAAAATCTATCCTAAGCGTCGAGTGAGGTAATAATGAAGTGCTTGGTCAGGGCAAGAAAAACACAACCTTTTTATTTAGTCGAAGTCTATCCACTCTCAAACCCTAGGATCTTCGGGGAATATGGATCCCGCAGGAAGCGCCGCCGTGGCTCTTCCCGCCCTCTGAGGCGCCGCTGCTGCCGAAAAGGCTACTCAAGTACTGCTGGGGAGCCTCTGGCCGCCCAGGCGGCCGCGTGTGCGGAGGCGGGGAGAGAACGGAGCCCCCATCGCCAGGACTCGAGGGGGCCGGCGCTTCCTTTCGGAACAGGATTGAGCCAATCGGGGAAAGGAAGCCCCGTTCTGCCCTTTAGTTTACTCGTTGAGAAACGTCGGTCTAGTAATTCGATTCCTGCTCTGGTTTATGACGAAAGAAGTGACATTGGATGCATATTCACGAAGTCGCTCACTCGGCGGGTTGAGCCGAATTATTTCCAGCTCCTTTGCTAGTGGTGGCACGTGCTTTCCTCTGTATAAAATAACTGTAACGTAACTCTAGTACACTGCAAGAGGGTTAGGCATGCTCTGGGGTGGATCACCAGTGGAGCGGTTAGTATTCACCGCTTCTCCATAGAGGTGAATTCGATGATTTTTTTTTTTAGCAAGAAAACTCGTCTCAATTATACGAGACCCTTTACACCAGTGTTTCTCAACCTTGGCAACTTGAAAATGTCCGGACTTCCACTCCCAGAATTCCCCAGCCAGCGAATGCTGACTAGGGAATTCTGGGAGTTGAAGTCCGGGCATCTTCAAGTTGCCAAGGTTGAGAAACACTGGTGTAAAGGGTCTCGTATAATTGAGACGAGTTTTCTTGCTAAAAAAAAAAAATCATCAATTTCACCCCTATGGAGAAGGGGGGAATACTAAGCGCTCCAC